ACAGTCTTTATGGGTGACTCCTACCTTTTCAAAAATAAAAATAGAAGTGAATGAAGCTTTGACATGTTTAGTAATTAGAAGTTTAGTGAGTTAAAGTCCTTATTGAACATAGCCATCTTTGTAACCTTTCCTCATTAACCAACAGTATATCAAAACTGTGTAACAGAATTTCATATTGGCACATCTTCCATCAGTCAGCCAAGATGCTGTTCCAAGATGCTAGGTTTAATAAAAAATAACGTAGGTTACATCTTGATGCCCTGTTAGTGTGTTCTATTTGGTTAAAATTAGCTTTGGAGGTTACTTTGGAAAAAATAAAAACAAAATGCTTGATAATTAAAAGAAGTATCTTTTTTGTTACTTATATTTGTGACTAGTTAAAAGTATCCTTTAGGGGAGCAGATTCCTAGATGCTGACTTTTGAAAGCATCTGTTAAAACACCAAGTTCCCTAAAGGTAATTGATTAGAAGTATCTTAGTCTATGAATTAATTATGGGAACTGTATATAGAATACTGGTAAATTGTAATTATTCTTACTGACAGTCTAGTGCAGAAAAGAAAGCTAAAATTAGTTTTTTCTTAGAAGAGAGTAGCTTTACAGTTTTTAGAATTGCCTAGAAATTTGTAATCAGGCCAGAGGCAATTCATTACTAGCTGCTGTGATGGGATTAATTTAAGTTGTTAGCTGCTTTTCTTAGACTGAGTTTATATCAGATTGTTGGAAAAAAGGTAAATTTAAAAAATTCCTGCAATCTAAATACATTTTCATCAATAATTTTATTAATAACTGATTACAGTATGAATAAAATTTATTCATGAGTGTTAAGAGACATAAAGGCCAGAATACAATATTGTAGTTCATGTTGCATGGATGTAATCAGAATAGTCTACAAAATAGACTGTCTCATTGAGTTGTAGGGTCACACTTGTGATGAGGATTTAGGGAAGAGCTAGTAACTATACAGAGACTTTGTCTGGAAACCAATGCTGTTCACAGCTGCTGGTGAGTGAAAGGACTCTATTCATAGTGTTATAATCTTTGGACAGAGCAGAAGCTCTTGACTGTAGTCATCTTATTCTAACAGGATTTTTACTATGTTTCAGTGTAGCAAGGGACCGTTGACAAAACACTTGTGTAACTAGGTAATAAGGCCAGTTCGTTTCATAGTCTGGGAGTCTTACAGTTTTTAACAGTTAGACTTTAATTGTAAGGTTTTTTGTTTTGTTTTGAATAACCAATGGGGGAAAATCAACTTGGAAGGAGATTTGCTAACATTTTTTTTAGAATTAAGTGCTTTCATTACTACTTTAAAAATATTTTAATTTGCAGCTGAAGAAAGTTTAGATAGTAATTTGGGGAAAATGTAATCAATTTTAGTTAATATTTAAAATTCCATCTATAAAAGCTTAGATTTGTAGAGCTGTTTTGAATATATTTCCCATCGTGTGTGTGTGAGACAAGTGTGTGTGAAAAGTCATTGAGCCTGGTTATCTGTGAAACTCTTAGAGTTACCTGTCTAGGAGTGTAAATCAATAAACTGCTGTGTGCTCTTGGTTGGATTACTGTCAGCTTTTCCTCAGCACTTGTTTGATCTACTGGCTGTTTTTCTAGGTCATGCTCACTAGTGTCAGGTAGGTTTTAAATACGTGTCACTGGCGTGTAAGTGATAAAACTTTGGTTTCTCTTTACCTGTAAGGTGCACTCTCAGTATCCCCCTGTTCAGAGACTCGTGACCCCAAAGCCAGTTTCCGTAGCAACAAATCGAACCGTTTATTTCAAACCATCTCTGACCCCATCTGGTGAATCGAGGAAGACTAATCAAAGAGTAGAGAAAAAGCACAATGTGAGTATGCGTTTTGTTTTCGCAGGGTCTTTGACTGTTGACTAGAATGAATAAAAAACAATGTAAGACACAGACATCGTCTACGATTGCATTCAAGCAGCTGGATGATGCAGACCGTTTTTTAATTGTTGATTGTGATTGTGAACTGATAGGCCTTGAAAATCGCTGTTCAGTTGATCACATTCTAAATTGGTATTTGCTAGTCAGCGTTACTTACATACGTTAAATAATGTTGCCAGGCTTGCCTTCTCTGTGTGTTTTGTTTGTTGCTGTTGAACGGTCTGAAAGTCAGTGTCCTAAGTGTCTGTTCATCGTGTGTGCTGTGGCACGTATCTTCTGAGTGCTTCCTTGTGTATTACCGTGTCTGGGGAAGTTCGTGTTAATTCCTCCTATTACTATCTGAGCTGTATAAGGAGCCCTGCTGGCACAGTGGTCAAGTGCTCGGCCCTTAACTGAAAGGTCAGTGGTTGGAACCCACCAACTGCTCCACAGGAGAAAGATGTGGCAATCTGCTTCCGTTAAAGATTTACAACCTTGGAAACCCTGTGGGGCAGTTCTCCTCTCGCTGTGAGTCAGGAGCGACTGTACGGCAACGGTTTTGGTTATGGGTCTGCTCCGTATTCGTGGAGTTTTTGGAGGGCACAGACCGTTAATAGTATGACCACTAGCTTAAAAGGTTGGTGGTTCAAACTCATCCATAGGCACCTTGGAAGATAGGCCTGATCTGCTTCCAAATGGTCATAGCTTTGAAAACCCTAAGGAACATTTCTACTCTGCACGCATGGGTTCGCCAGGAGTCGGAATAGACTCCATGGCAACCAACAACAGGAAGTTCACATTCAGATGTTTCTGTGAGCCGGGATCCAAGCAAGATTCATACATTGCTCTTGGTTTCGTCTTTCGAGGCGTCACTCCTACCCTGCCACACTGATTGTTTTTTTAAATAGTTTTATTGAGATATAATTTACATATCAACTATACAACCAATTAAAGTGGTTTTTACTGTGTTTACAGAGTTGTGCAGCCATCACCACCATCAATTTTAGAACATTTTCATCACCACTTCTCCCCCAAAACTCTTGTACCCATTAGCAGTCACTCCTTCTGTACCCATTAGAGTCACTCGTTCCCCTACCCCTCCTCTCCTCCCCAAGACCCTGACAACCACTGATCTTTCTGTCTCTACAGGTTTGCCTGTTCTGGACAGTTGATATAAATGGAATCATACAGTCTGTGGCCCTTTGTGACTGGCTTCTTTCACTTAGCATAATGGTTTTTGTTGTTGTTGAGAATATACGCAGCAGAACATACGCCAGTTCAACAGTTTCTACATGTACTATTTAGTGACATTGATTACGTTCTTCACGTTGTACACTGATTCCCACCCCCCTTTTCTGACTTGTTCCTCCCGTTAACATAAACTCATTGCCCCCTAAGGTTCCTGTCTAATCTTTCAAGTTGCTGTTGTCACTTTGATCCCATATAGATAGTTCTTAAAAGAGCATCATGCTCAAGGCAGACATTTTTTACTAGCTAATCGTAGACTGTTTGGTTTTAAGAAGATTTGGGATATTTTTGGTTTTAAGGTTTAAAGATTATCTGAGGACAGTAGTTTTAGGGGTTTCGCCAGCCTCCATGGCTCCAGAAAGTCTGGAGTCCATGAGAAGTTGAAGTTCTGTTCTGCGCTTAGCTTAATGTTTTCAAGGTTCATCCACGTTGTAGCGTGTATTAATACTTCATTCCTTTTTATTGATGAATAATAGTCCGTGTGTGAATAGACTACATTTTGTTTATTCATCCAGTGGTGGACATTTTGGTTGCTTTCATTCTTGGACTGTAATCATGCTGCTTTGGACATTTGTGTGTGAGTTTTTATGTGGACATAGTGTTTTCATTTCTCTTGGGTGGTACATACCTAGGAGTGGGACTGGTTTTTATGTGGACATAACATTTCCATTTTTCTTGGATGGTACATACCTAGGAGTAGAACTGGTTTCTGACAAGACCACCAGGACAGATGTCTTATAAAATGTCCTACATTCTGGGTTTGTCTGTTTTCCTGTGGTATCGTTTGACTAAATTCATAAATGTTTATTGTGTTCACATAGCATTTTACTGACTGCATCTTGTAGTTAATCTTGTTCGATTGTTATAACAGCTCAGTTTCTTGAAAAATTTTAAAGAAAAGTTGAAAAAATAATAGTGGCTACTCGTATACTTTTTTATCTTGATTCACCAGTTGTTAACATTTTGCCGAACTTGCTTTATCTCTTTCCGTATATACTTTTTAATTGGACCTTTAAATTTTTTTAACGTAATTTCAGATTTACAGAACTTGCAAGAAAAATTCCAAGATCTCCACATTTTACTACATTTACTTCTTTGTATTCCTACAAATAAGGAATTCCTTTACGTAATTCCCCAACAGTTACCAAACCAGGAACTTAACACTTGCAGTACTGTAATCTACAGATCATTTCGCTGGTGCCGTTTGTCCAGAAAGAAGATCCAAGCTCACATCTTGCACTTAGTTGTCAGGTCTCTTTCGTCTCCTTTAGTCCAGAACAACAACTGTGTTTTCTTTATATTTCGTGATACTGATGTTTTTGAAGAGTACAAGCCAATTATTGTATACCGTTTTTCCCTTGGGGTGTTGTGATGTTTTCTCAGGACTGTATTAGCTTCCAGTTACGTGCTTTGGGCAGTAATGTCGAAGAGGAGATGCTGAGCTCTTCTTAGCAAATCATACCAGTGCGATCATTAGTTAATGTGGTGCCTGTATGATTTCTCCAGGGTAAAGCTGCTATTTTACTTTTTGTAATTAATAAATATTGTCGTGAGCATATAAATATCCCTTCCACCCACTAGCTTTAGCATTATTGATGGTTCTTGCTTGAATCCGTTTTTTGTAGGTTGCCGCTTGATGGTTTTCTACCTTGATCGTTCCTTCTACGTCAGTTGGCATTCTGTTGAAAGGAAGAGTTTTTCTCTAATTATGTATTCACTTATCTATGTATTTATGTTTTTGTATTAACTTGAATTCTTGTATTCATTAGGTTGTAATTCTTTATTAACATTATTTCTTTGGATGCTCAAATTGTTCCCGATTTGGCCTTCAGACTGGTTTCTGTGTCCTTTTACTGTATCCTTTTCATATTTCGAACACTGTTGCTTTTTGATCTTATAAAATAATCCAGGCTCATCTTGTACATTTCTTGCCATAGCCATCCAGCCATATAATCAGCCACTTCTCCAAGAAGCCCTAGCTCCCTTTTTTTAAAAAAATATTGTATCTGAGGTGAAAGTTTACATAGCAAATGAGATTCCCATTTGACAGTTTCCATACAGATTACTCAGCGATGTTGGTTACACGTTTCAAACTGTGTCATCATTCTCATTCATCCCGTTCGGGTTGTAGCATTTCCAGGGCTCTACTTTCCCTGCTCCCTCACCTTCTCACCTTTGCGTTACAGTGATTTTTGACCGTTTGGTCTTAGATAGATGATTTCTAGTTCCTTTTTTTTTTAAATTGTACTTTAGATGAAGGTTTACAGAACAAATAGTTTCTCATTAAACAGTCAGTACACATACTGTTTTATGACATTGGTTAACAACCCCACGACATGTCAACACTGTCCCTTCTCAACTTTGAGTTCCCTATTACCAGCTTTCCTGTTCCCCTCCTGTC